TAGCCAAACAAATTCACTAAGAATTTCCCTTAACATAGAAATTTTTTATCACAACCAAATATAATCCCAAACGCCACCTAACCAAACAGATTCACCAACAATTCGTTGATTTGGAAATCAGTAATCACAACCAAACATATCCCAAATGCCAAATAGGTTCACCGGGAATTTACAGAGCATGGACTTATGGGAAATGTCTAACCTTCAACATTTGTACCACAAATTTATCCTTGAGGAATATTCATGGCTTCTCTGCTCAATCCATTTGCTTCTTTCCTTTAAACCACTTTAATGAACAAATTAAAAAAAAGAAAAGTTCAGAAAGTAAAGAGAGAAAAGAAGCGTATATAACAATGAGCAATATTCTGCCATGTAAGTGGGTCACATGATATATAGGAAAAGCGTACTTTTTTCCATATAAAGATGCCAATTAAGTTGACATTAATGGATAATTTCATCTTCTTACAACAAGAAGGTTATTTTTGTTCGAAATTTTTCTTACTACACAGCCCAACTCACCAATGGAAGTCATGTGCAAGGTCAATAAGACTATAGGCGTAGTTAACCAATATATTGTGGGGGATAATATCACTTACCTCCTTCCAAGTTAGACCTAATTACACCTGGTACCCTCATATTTTAAAATATTACACCAGCTTCCCCCAAAGTTTGCTCTCTCATAACACTTTGCCCCTTCGGTTAAGGGTCAACGCCGGTCAATTCCCTTTTTTGCTAATGTCAGCAATTTTTAGAGTGAAATGCCATATTTTCCCTTAGATAGGTTGTAAAGACATTTGCACCCTCATTTTTTAATACAAAATTACTTATATACCCTCAGTTTGAGAACACAAAATAATAATAATAATAATAATAAATCACATGTCCTCCTCCATATACCACATCTGTCTATCTAGAAACATATATGAGCTTTGCACAAAAATCAAAAATAAAATAAAATAAAATAACAAACAAACAAACAAACAAAATAGTGAAAAACCAGTTATGTTTGTGTATAATATATATATATAGTCTCAATCACATCCACCCCCTTCTGACTTGCTCGCCATCGCGGCAGATCGTTGCCGCTACTACAGTAGGATTCGCCGATAAGGACAATTTACCAAACCAAACTCAATCTTCCGACCTCACCACCACAAATTGCCAGCTCAATCAATTCGTTCCTCCATGGTCGCCGAAATCCATGGATCCCCATAGTGGCCAATGAGGTATATGCGACGAGCACTGATGAATAAGTACGGGTTTTGTTTTGATATTATTATGAGTAATGAGAAAATCATGATGGTTGTGAGGTTAAAGGTCAGATCGGTGGTTTAATCATACTGGAATACACGGCTGATTGTTGGGGTGGTGATGGCTACGATAGTTTCGGGGTGGGGATGGTGGTGAGTGGGGTCGAGGTTTGTGGTGGTGATTGTGGAGTTGGGAGTGGTGGTGGTTGTGATAGTGTAATTGGGCAAACTTTAATGGGTTTAACTATGGTGGTGGTTGTGGTGGAATGGGAAATGGCGGTGGTGATGGTGGCTACGGTTGTCGCAATGGTGGTGAAGATGGTGCTGTGTTGTGGCGGCGGTGGTAAAGATGTGGGCTGAGTTATGGTAATGGTGGTGGCTATGGCCGTGGCGGTGGTAGTGGAGATGGTGATTATGTTATGGCGGTAGGGGTGGTTTTGTTGTGGTGGTGGTGGTGAAGATGGTAGGCTCTGCTCTGCTGGCGGTGGTGAAGATGGTGGGTTCCGCTCTCCTGGCGGCGGGGAAGACGATAGTTCTGTTCTGCAAATTTAGGGCTCAGATATCATAGGAACATATCAAATCATTTAGGGCTTGTAGGGTAAAAGAGTAATTTGATAACAAATTATCATTATTAATATATTAGTGGGGGTATATTAGTATATTCACACAGATTTCTATCACAACTAAACTGTGATGACATTGAAGGGTGTTAGTGTAATTTTTTAAATGTTAGGGGTACAGCTTGTAATTAGGCCTAACTTCAAGGAAGGTAAGTGATAGTATCCCATATATCGTGCCATCTTCTATCTAGATACACAAGATGAAAATTTGAGGGGTACTTCGTTTAATTTACCTTTTACATTAATATCATAAAAATATATAGGGTAAACTACAGGAACCTTTCCTGAGGTTTGGACTAATTGTAACTAAACCTGATGTTTTTCATTTTGTAATAATATATTCCCCTGAGGTTTGACCATTTTTGCAAAGACCTACCTAATAGTATTTTTTTGTCAGAAAAATGGTTGAAGTGACCAAAATATCCATCAATTAAGTCTAAAAGACCGTATTACCCTTAAAGTGTCATGAAATAACAAAATAATCATGCATTAGTAGACCAAAATATCCCTTTTGGGAATTTTTGTGGCTTTTATGCGTTTGTTACGTTTTGGATTAGAGAAGATTATTGAAGATGGGGCAGTTGAAGATGACAATAGATGTTTGTACTTACGATTCTGAACGGAGAAGTGAGTGCAGTGGTAAGCAGGAATGGGATTTGCATGTGTAGCACAGTAGTTTTTACTCAAGGTTTACCAAATTGGGGCAGGATCAGAGAAAGAAACAGACGAGAAGGGATCGATTGGGTTACTGGGAAAGAGTGGTAGTTGGTCGCCGGTGGTCGGAGAGTCGATAGCTCCCCAGTCGACACCGTAGAGGATGGAGATGGGACGGATGCGAAAGAGGATCAATTCATCACTAGGGCAAAGGTAGTTATGTATTGCTCACTTGACGACGAAGGCACTCTCATTACTGAGGTCAATAGCAATGGCGAAGCGATGATAAGCTCCGAGCGACGATGGCGTTCCTCAAGAGCTGTCATGTTATCGTCGGCAAAGGCAGCGTCGGCACTCTCAAGGAAGTCTGGTCATGTACGGGCTTTCGTGACCTGGTTTTTTCATTTTTTTTGGGCGACAAAGGTTGCCTTTTGCCTTCGCTAATGATGGGACATCAATGACAGCAATGGTTGTTGCATGTTCCATATACTAGGTCCCGTTGTCGTAGGAGTGGATGAGACACTTGTAGATTGCAATTGGTGGTGTTAGTTTTCGTCCTCGTCATTGATAGTGCGTTCTTTGGTGAGAATTGCATGGACGGGGAGAGGATGATATGAATAGTGGAAAAAGGATAAAAATGTAAAATATTTTTTTAGGAAAATATTAGTGGGCAAAAGGGTCATTCTTTATTCTTAGATACTTTGCCCATTCTTAGTAATATAATAATAAGGGTATATAAGTAAATTCATAACCAAATCTAACATTGGGGTGTCTTTGCAATAAAATGGCAAACATCAGATTTAGTTACAATTAGTCCAAACCTTCATGAAGGCCACCCATATATATATATATATGCTTTGAATCTTATATTATTGAAATTCGCTTGGTATTTTGTTGCACTATTAGTTGGGAAACTAAAAAATAAAAACTGACGCCCCTTTTTGGAAAACGAGGTGCCCTAGCAAGAATCTCCTTCAAGTAATAGTGTAACACAAGCCAGGGGAAGCAACTTATTTGTTGATCAGATGAGAAGAATTATTGTCTCACATATTTATAAGAGTTTATAATATATTAAATTTTGACCTCTAAATCAGGGAATTTTTGGAAAGAAATGGATACGCAAACCCAAGCTAGAACCTCCAACAAATCGGGTCAATCAAATTACTCAATTATTAAGGCATATGGATAGACATAACTCGTAATAATGGATTCTTCTCGGATGATGTCTCAGTGTGTTGGTGTCTCAAGCTAATACAATCGTATGGATACTATTGAATTAATTCCCTTCATTGATTCCATCTTTTGTGAATCTCATTGTCTCAATTATATATGTGTGTGTGTTTTTATGTCAATACAATCATATATACAGGGATGGTGGGATCAAGCTTGTGTAACTAATGGTGGTATTGGACCCCACAAAGGGTATAATTGTCATTTCAAAATAATTCATTAAGGTTTAAAATTAATATTAAATTATGGAGGTTAAATTTGTCATTTTACATTTCACTTAATAGCTCCGTTATGGAATGGGGGCAAAATAATATTTTTTTATAGTTCAAAGGGTTTATTGTTAATATAGGGGGTTATGTGATGTTTTTGAATTATAGAGGGAAGTTTTATGATTTTAACTCTTTATTTCATATACCCCCAAAATGATTTATTGTTCTAAAGTAACTTTTATTCTCTAAATAACAAAAAAACAAAACAAAACAATAAATAAAAAAATAAAAAAGAAGAAAAAAGGTAAATTAAATTTACACCCCATTTATAAACAGATAAATTACACACAATACCCTCATGATTTAAAATTTACACTCACACGTACTGATGTTCATGTTTTGTATGACTTAAACTCAAACTGTGACGATCAAACTTGATAGTTAAAAATTGATGACATCAGCCTCTAAACATTTTGAAATGCCTATTTAAATATGAGATAAATTCCGTATATAATAAAATAACATGGATATTTTAATCTTTTTGTATATCATTAATATTGTAATATAAATAACATGATTTAAATATGAGGGTTACATGGTAATTTAACCATTTCTTTTGACGGAGTTAGTCGATAGGGTGTAAGTGATACGAAAGATGACCGCCAAGGGGTGAGAATGTAATTTTTTAAATCATGAGGGTACCGTGTGTAATTTATCCGCTCATGAGGGGGTGTAAATTAATTTAATTTAACCTAAAAAAAAAAATAACCAATTTACATTCTGGTAATCCAAAGACAACAATGTAACTTTCTATTCTTGAGTCCTCTTCCTTATTCAAAGACAACAACAGAACTTTCTATTCTTGAGTCCTCTTCCTTATTCAAAGACAGGGAAGACCCAAGACAACTTGTGTTGTGCCACCAAAAGGGAAACACACAAAACCACTCAGAGAACTACCTTAACCTACTAGTGCCATAAGATAAACACAAAGAAGATACAATAAAAGACTCAAGAAATTAACCAAAATTATATTGGTATCATGGAGATGCCAGATACTTCTGCCTCAGGAGCTTGAAAAACATCAACATTTCATCACGATCGGGAAGATTGTCTTTGATTAAGGGTGCTTCCTTGAAATTTTTGATCCATGCATGCCAGCGAGGGAACGTGTGGGCTTCAAGTAGCTTCATCCCTAACACATCTTCTAAAACTTCCAACCAAACAACAATGCCTCCAAAGGCTATGTCAACTACACCGATGATATCCCCGCTGAAGAATTTCTTCTCTCCGAGAGCATGATCTTCTATTGTTCTCAGCATTTCAAGACTGTCTTTCATGGCCTTTTCGTGTTCTTCTCCAGTGGTATGAAACATTATAAAAATAGCATAACCCTATATGTATCATAATCAAGAAAATAATCATACAATAAAGTTATGTCAATTCAACTAAACCTTATTCAGCTACTTTTAATTGGGTAGCTAGCTAGTTTTATTTAATTAATTTATACGCTTAGAGAAAAAATAATGTTTCATAAGACAAAAGAAACATATATGTGAATGGACTGACACTTTGATAGAGGTATATAACTAAATTGTGTGAACTGCATTTTCATATACACATAGACGCCCTTAAATATAGCATTTCTATGTGCAGTGAGAAAATTTTGGCATAGTCAAAATGATGTTTATAGCATTCTCACATCAAAAGAATTCAAAGGCGTATCAACATTAGTCCAGATGATATGACCTTCTCCTTCGGAGAGGTTGAGTGTTTGAGCCCTGTTAGGGGTAATATTATGAGAGTGCGTGCATTTGCTTTTATTTTCAGGAAAAAATAAATAAATAAAAAATCGAAGGCATGAAATATGTTGATGAGGTGTTCTATGCAATTTTTTTAATTAACAAGTGAAAGAACAGCTAAAATGAAACTATTTACCTTGTCGTCAGCAAATTTAGCCCAAAACCGAGCCATGGCTCTGTCATAAGGATCATTTGGCAGCAAGGGAGGTTGCGGCCATGTCTGTTCAATGTATTCAAGGATGATTGTGGACTCACAAATTGGTTTTCCACAATGAACAAGCACTGGGATCTTCTTGTGGACTGGGTTGTATTGTAGTAGCAGAGGACTTTTATCGGACAAATCTTCTTCTGTGTAGTCATAAGGCACACCTTTTAGTTTCAGAGCCCATATTACTCTGTAAAGAAATGGACTAGGCCATGTTCCAAGTAGCTTCACCTCTTCCATCTTTGAAAGATCAATGGAATTAAGAGCCATTTTATAGTGAGTATTGGATAACTCTTACTTGGCCACCAAGCTGTAATGAACACATTTTCAACTACTACTAGTTAAATTCAAAAGTAGGGTAATTTTTCTTCGTTTTTTATTGATTTCTAACTTTTTTACTTTAATAGGTCAAGTAAATGAGATGGCAAACTAAAATTTGCTTTTGCAAGGGCAATACTTTGGGCTACGAGGTGGTGGTTTGCTATACTGAAAAAAAAAATATATATATATATATATATATACATATATTTCATTTTCATTTTTTCAACTTTGTGGGGGTATGATATAACACACTGGTAGTCCTTTTAGCTGTCTTAAATCGTTGTTATCCCAATTAAATAAACAGAGAGAGGGGGAGGGAAAAATTATCCAAATGTGCATGTAGGATCCCCAAAATTAGAGTATGCACAAAATTGCCAAGTTCACCAAAACTATGTGCCAACTATTTAAAGACTGTGCCAGCGGCCATTTTCAAAACTATCACTGACAATACAATTTTTTTTTTTTTTCTTTTTTTATCATACACCTCATTATACTCCTTTGGAGATTCGAACCATCACCATCCATTTTGAAAGATAGAAGAGATACTACTGGGTCACAAGACCCATGGTTAACACTGCATTAAGACTAAAATTAATTTTTAAAACTCAGTTTTATCCCACCAACAAAGGCAAAATTTTCCTAAAGTAGATACTTAAATAATGAATGTAATTTTTTAGTACTTGGCTCTTATGAATGCACAGGCTTTGAAGACAAAATGTATCAAAAAAATCCCAGCAATTGTCCTTTCGGCTCCTTTTGGTTAGATAGAATAAGTATGAAATGAAATGAAATGAAAAATGAAAGAAAAGTAAAGTGAATAAAAAGAAAAATTATTTTCTATCAAGCATTTGGTTAGCATGAAAATTTATTCAAGAAATTTACATGAAAATATTAGTTTGTTAGTTTGGATAGCACGAAAATGAAAAGAAAGTGATTGTGCATACCAAAATTACCCTTATGATTTCAAATACTAAAAAAATAAATAAATTTGTGTTTGATGGTGTCTATTTTTATCAAAGTTTTAATAAAATGATGAATTATTAAATTTAATAATATAATTATTTATATTCATTTATATTCATTTATATTGTTTAAATTAAAATAATACTTCAAGACTTCTTAGGTAGAACCATAGAAGTAAAACTAATTATTCATTTACGAGATATAAGGAAGCTTAAAAAAAAAAAAAATTAAAAAAATTTGAGCTCATGGACTCATGGGCTTTCAACCAGAGAACACAAAAAGAACAAAATATATATTATTCTTTGTATATATAATAGAGGTGTATATATACATATTAGATACAATGTAAATATTTGGAACCCAAACAAAAAAAATCGTCCAAATAGTATTACAAGAGAACATGTTTAGAGAGAAATTACCTTTTAGAAGTTCACTAAAATAGAAATTGTTAGAGAACTTGCCTCTTTGAAACTAAGTAGAAAAGAAACTCAATTAGAAATGAAAGAAATTAATTGTTTTACATGATTTAGTTGCTGAATAAAATAGAAATTTCAAATATAAAAAAAAAAAAAAAAGCAATTTTCAAGAGAAAATATTATTTCCTCGTGTTTTATGTGAGAAAAATTTTGGGGAAACTAGTTTACTGCGAGAAACTATATTTTCTATTACGATTCTTTTTCCATCTATCCAAACTATTAAAAAAATTAAAAAATTTCTCTTTCCTATCTTTTCTAGTTGATTTTATCTAACCAAACGAAGCCTTAATATTTTTCTATAAGAGCATTATCATTAAAGAGTTCTTCTTTAGGTGAAAAAAAAAAAAAAAAAAAAAAAAAAGGAGTTTTTAGGAAATGCTATAGATGTCTGTTTTGACTTTCAAAAAAGTGGGAGCATACAAGAAAGTCTATATATTATTAGATAAGGAGTTCATTTCTTATGCTACGAATCTAAAAAAATTCTTTCAAAGAACGCAATAGTAGGTGAGGCTTTTTTGCCTCCACAAAAGTCACTTGAAGTCTGTTGCTTTCTCTTTTATTGGTTAACTGGTTTCCTAAGTTGATATCTGATACCATAGATTTTTCTAAGTTCTTTAACTTTTTTGAAATCAAAATTTTATCAAAGAAAATAAAACCATCCAAATGAAGCAGACCAGCAAAGAACAGAAGCATTTCTCAGTTGATATCTGATTCTATACATTATAACAGACATAACTTTTTAGTGTATATTATTGAAAGATAGTATTAGCATACAATCAACATTCAATAGCATATTGTCCCTCCATAATTTTCTGTAGAGTCTTGATCATCAAGGAATTGCATTTTTATATATAGTTGTAGAAAAAAATGGACATATAAGAAAGATTACTATTAAAGAAGGGGTTCATTTGGTTCATTTGGTTCATTTCATTAGTAGTAGAATAAGTTTCAAGTTTTGGCCATAGTTAATTTTCCATTTAGTTTAATTCTAGTAAAGTTGATATCTTAGGTGGACTTGTCATTTTCTAGATCCTAATCCTTCTCAAAAGAAAATAACTATATGGGTAGAAAGTAGTTAGTGCAATAATTTTGATCAGTGGTATATAATTGCATATAGTTACTTGAAAGAATAACATATTCTATATATATATACTGATTATATTGAAATTGTAATGATCAATCATTATCTTTTACATTCAAATTTGGACCACATCACAGAGGAATAGGAACTCAATTTATGTTCTCACCCATTAAAAGATGTTGATATTACAAAAAAAATATTTGTATGAAACTGCTTTGTTCTTGTCTTCTGGTGTCTCTACTAGCATGGATTAGGAACAATCCAAATGGGTGCTGGTTCAATCTTCTGCAAATCATCTTCATTAATCAGTTCTGTTCTCTGATCCTCCAAATCAAACCTGCCAGTGTCATGACCTCCATTCATTCGATCCCAATTATCATCAGTGAAGTAAACTGAATTCCCTTTCCAGTTTGGAAAACTATTGTGTGATAGTGAAATGGAGTGATTCCCACCCAAAAAGAGCATGCAATCGCCTAAGTATTCCAGTTCCACCCACTTTTTCAGATCAAAATCAAGCTTGTAAACATGAAAAACCTTTGTCATGTATGGACACACCAAATGCATTGGGTTATCTTCTTCAAGAAGAAGATCTGCCTCACGAACAAGTACACTGCCAGAAAATTCCCAATATACCTCATTATAAGCAGAATATCACCCTTCGATTCCACCATGTAACACCGTCTAGAATAAAGACATTTTCCAGGAGGAGACTTCTCAAATTCAAACTTACTCCTAGGAAAAGAAGGCCTAATGTCCATCTTTTTTGTAGGGATCAAAGAAGTGTTGAAATCCCAAATTTCAACTGAACCTGTTTCACCTAAAGCAAAAATATGATGATTGTGGAATATGATATCACAATAGGGTTGATGTACACCATTGAGGGCAGTCCATTCACTACCTCCACACCTTGAAAAGGCAAGCTTTGAAGAAGCAACACCATATATTACTACAACCCAATAGGTGTTGTCACTGTGAATTGGGTCTGCTGATAGTACAGCCTTCTCAAAGGTCCTGTAAATGTCACCGGTAACGCGAAAAATAGGAAGTTCAATCCAAACCTCCAAGAATGGATTGAGGATGTATGGGATTGCTTTTTGGTCGTCCAAAAATATCAGCCACCCATGAGATGATCCAATGCAACGAGTGTGACCCAAGACTTTTGGGATATTGGTTAGTTGCTTATACACCTTTTTCTCTGCAAGATTGTATAAGCAACGGCTATTTTTATTGTCTTGATCATGATGACAAGGAAGCATGAGCAATGGTGGTTGATCAAGCAATTCAACGGCGGATAATCGGTTTAGGATTGATTCCCAGGAGTCGGTGTGAAGTCCTCTAGACCAATCCGTTGATGATGATGGTGGTGATGATGGTGATGATGTTTTTCTTCTTTTGGTGGGATGAACCAAATGCGTTTTGTTTGCAATCATTGTCAATTGATTGCAACGAAGAATTTGCAGATTTATCAGAATAGCTTCTGCAGCTAGGTTAGGGTTAGGGTTGTGTGTGAAGGGTCGTAGGGGAGTTCATGTTCAAAACGGAAACTTTTTTTAAAACGAAACTTGAAGTCCAAAACAAAACCATGCGTTGATTCCGGAGGAAGATCTCTGCTGGGGGAGTTAATTTTTTATTTTTTTCCTCTAAATTATTAGATATTATATTTAGTTCAAATTTTTTTTTGGAAAGAATGATTGATAAGGAAAATTATTAGTAGCTAGATTTGTGGTAAAGTTTGCACTCTCTTTTCAAATAAATGTACTCAATTTTTTTTATTATTATTATTATTATTTTGACAGTGTGGTCCAACCCAGGTGGAGCGCTCCCCCTATGTTTTTTTTTTTTTTTTTACTCTTCAAATTTTTTTTATTTCCTTAAAAAAATTTAAATATTCATTTTTGAACCAAACTCTAATTTTTTTTTCCTTTCAAAGTTCACATTTTTTTTTCCTTCTTTTTTCTTTCCTACTTGTTAAAATTATTCTTTTTGCACTTACAAAGATGTAACAGTTTTTTTTTTTTTTCCTATTCTTCTTATTTAAATTTATTATTGTAATTTTATGACGTTAATAGGTGTAATTTTCATACATGGCTTTCAAAATACAAATACCTACAACTACATTCAAGGAAAATATTATTAAATAGTATTTTAGTTTTTATATTGGTTTAAGTATTTATATTTCTCATACTAACCCTTGATTTAGCTTATTGTTTTGTACTGATTTTTTATCTTTTACTTGTTGATTTGAACAATCTACAGAAAAGTCTCTTTATAAGCTTGAAAGTCTGGCCCAATTTGGACCCTAAATTTGGGCTTTGTTGTAGTTCGTCAACAAAATATAAAAAAGCAAAATCATCTATATATTATTTACCGTTCAGTTTGGTGATGGATAAGGCTCTATATGAATTTTTTTTTTTCTTTTCCAAAAAGTTACAATTAACATTTCTTTTCAAAAAAAAAAAAACCTGTCAAATAATTTCTCTCTTTTTTTTCAATATATATATTGTCATTAGCTAAGTACTCACACGCACGCATTTTACAAATATCGACCAAACCCCTCACTTCTTCAAAAACTAAATTTGCAGTCCTAGAAAATGTGTGTGTGTGTGTGTGTTTATATAATCAAATATTCAATTATAAATTTATAAGATGCTCTTTCTCCATGGGAGAGAAGAGTTCTTCCATTGAGATTTCAAAGACGGGAGAGGTGAAGCTAATTGGAACATGGCCTAGTCCATTTCTTTACAGAGTGATATGGGCTCTGAAACTAAAGGTACTCTCGAGCACAGTTTGCTATGCCCTCATGGGCTTGTTTCATTGTTTGGGTCCTTCCTTGGTTTGGGCTATGCTTATAGGCCTCTGATCTTTGTACAGTTTTCCCATATATAAACAATTTTACCGAAAAAAATAAAAAATAAAACATTCAACCACTCTAATATTATTCATAACTTGACAATTTATTGTAATTTATTGTTTAGTAAAAAAAATTTTAAAAAAATAACAAATCCTACTTAATCATGATTTTAACTTTGTAAAAGTATTATAATGGTATATAAACGGTTATAACATTTTGGACTAATAAATATTGAGCATTGAAGTCTCATGATTCAACTCATAACCCTCAAAGTCAATCCTAACCGGCCACACCAAAAAACACAACTAAACAGATCTTCAACCGTTCAATGCTGATCCTACAAAGCATTTCAACCATCCGATTCACTTTTAGGCAAATCATTTCAACCTCCCTAATCGCCTCCATCTCTATTCTCGTTCTCAACTCTGAACTTGCCCTTTCTTGCTCTCCATCTCTATTCTCATTCTCAACTCTGAACTTGCCCTCTCTCTCTCTCTCTCTCTCTCTCTCTCTCTCTCTCTGTGCAAGTGCAAACTACAAAATCTACAAGAATCAGAAGTTCAAAACCCATATATTTCAGTTTATCTATCTATCTGCAAGAATCAAAAGTTCAAAACCTATTACCTATATCAAAACCCATATCCGCGTATCATTTCAGTTTCCATCGCCTGCTGTTCCAGTTCTTGTTCGCTGTTTGCAAGCTTTAGCGGCTGGCTCTCAATTCTCAAGCTTGCCCCCCTCTCTCTCTGCAACTGCTAACTTGTATGTATGGGTTTTGTTTTAATTTTTTTTCTAAATCAACTAATCGAGCTCTGTAATTATTGTTTTGCAAACTAAATCCTATTTGGTGAATTTTTTTATGACCTTTTTTATATAAATTTTTTTTTACAATTTAAAGTAACAAAATTTGCATTGCATTTTGAGGTAATCACCACAATCTACATTTTATTTCAGCAAAACAAATAATTATTATTATTTTTTTATATCTATTATGACTACAAGAAATTTTTTAATCAAAAGTTCAAACCCCCCCCCCCCCCCCCCCCCTTTTCTTTTTTTTTTGTCAATTATGTCTACAAGAAAATTTGAATCTGGGCATGAAAAAAGAATTTGAATTGGATTAGAAATCTGCAAAGATTGAATCTGAAACAATTTTTGAAGATAGAAATCTTTTCAGAACTAAAAAAAAAAAATCATAACAAGAACTTTGACAAGCAAACGTAGTTAATATAGGGTAAAGCTCTAAAGTTACTTCTTGAAAATTAAAATACTTACAAAAAGCATGCTTTTGAGTGAATTCCATGGTGAAGGGGCTTGCCATGAACTACCTCACTCTATTTCCACTAGTAGATTTTCAAATAAGATTAGTAAATTGGTCAAAAGAAGAGATAGGATACTGAGTGGTGAATTGTTCAGAAATAAATTGGTAATTTTTTTTATGAATTACCCAAATAGGATTTTTTATGCCTTAATTAGTCAATTGTCTAAAGAAACATTGTTAGTTAACTAAAATTGAATTAAACAACAGTTGATTTTGGTTGATGTATTTTGATTTAGCCCACCCCATTGAGAAATTCTAGGTCCGCCCTACTAATAATGTTTTATTTGACATAGAAATACAATAAGGGTATATTTAGTCTTTCTGTCATATTTTTATTTTAAAATCTTGGTTTTTGATTTTCTTTTGTTATTAGATTGCAGAATATCAGGGTATTGATTTGTTAATTTTGAAGATTATTCCTAAACTGATGCATTGTACTTTATTATTGGATTAATTTAACATAAGAGCTGAGTATAATATAATCAAACCTATTCGTAATTACACCTCCTTCTACGGATAGGTGTCCAATATTTTGACTGAAAGCATAGTTGGGTTAGGTTGGGTTAATACATGATACAGATAGTAGTTAGATGGTAGTGTTTTAATTGTTATGGGTGAGATTGTAAAACCTCTTCCTCACAACTTTAGTGTTTTCTTATTTTTATGTTTAGCATCGGGCCTTAACATTTAGCAAGAATAAGGTTCAAGAAACATGCCTCTTCATTCATCAGGTAACAATTTATAAAATTTTAATTGGCATTTTTAGCTATTTGTTACGTTTATTTATTCATGTTTTACATATTGATTTTTTGTTTTTGTTTTTATTTCTACATACATATATGATGTGATACTCGAACAATTTATTAATGAGAATTAAAGGCTTAGAAGTTTAGTTTTCAATTTCAGAATATATGTTTTACAAGTTTATTAACGCTTTTAAAACTTTTCCTCTTTTGTCTTAATAATGTAGGTCCCTTCTCTGAAAAAATAGAGTTGATTGGAAATGTGTGAAGTAGGGGAAATCAGGATGAGAAGTTTCGTGCGAGATCGAAGTGATTCCACACTTCAGCATTTTATGGGATTCGTGGACAAGGTCGTGGCTTACCTTGCTTATCTTTGGGACAATTGACCTCAGCATGTGAAGCCTGTCATTGAGCTTCTTCCGGTGGCGCCTTTCAACCATCAAATTTTAGGTGGAAGCCCCTTCTTCTTCCCTTTCTGATCACCACCAGTGACACTGTCATTCTTGACACAGTCTTCCACCTTGGCATTCTCTGTAAATTCATCAGAATCATAATTTAAAGGTATAAGGTCCGTGCAGATGATGATACATGCACAGAGATGTTGGTGGTTGATGGGCTGCATGATAGCCAACCAAATCACAAGAACAACAACTAATATTTTGAGATACTCAATGGACTGCTACAATGCTCACTCTTCAAATTCATCAGCCATTTGCGCAGGGCATTAACATCATGGATAACTTTGCTACAGTAAGTCAGAAGACCAACTATACCGACACTTTTGGAAAACTCCTTGAACACACATTTTACATTGTCGTCTTTGCTTGTCATATTTTCGACAATTTTACACTAGCAAAGTTGTCCTACATCCGTAGGAGATGTGATTAAAATGTCCATGTAGTGGCAGAAAAATAGCAACCGAAGCGATCCTCTCCAAAAATCTTCAGGAATTTAATTGACTATGAGATGTTTGCTGGGAGGAGAAGATCGCTTTTTTCGCTATTTTTCTGCCACTACATCAGATTCATGTACATTTTAATCACATCTCCTCCAGATATACAAATTGTAGAAAATATGACGAGCAAAGACGAAGATGTGTGTTCAAGGAGTTTTCGGTAGAATACCAACCACATTTGCAATTGTACCTTTTTTTAAGAAGTAAATTCGGGATACTTGTTAATCCCGTCTATCTCTTACATTACTATCACTTAAAATGATATCATGATCTGCACTTGTTTCTAATTTCTAATTAAGATACTTTTGACTGTTATACCCTGCTCTTGTTTGTTATGTTAAATTGCAATTCTCAAGTCCCACCTATAAAATTGGCTTCAGACCATTGCTCTGGTAAATCTGCAACTAGTATAGTTAGATTTAAGTAGTGTAATATCTTAACTTAAAGTTTATCAATTTAGAAGTTTACATTAATATTCATGCCTGATTCTTCACCTTTCATGTCATAATATTTTCTGCTTTTGGATCGGTGATACTAGCTACCCCCTTCCTTTGGGGCTT